AGAAATAATAAGTAGTTATTGCTATTTAGCAACTAATTAAACACTAATGTTACTGCACTGATAAACACTACCTACATCCTGGCTGCTGTTAGTCTACTTAGAGGCTGAAGTGAAGTGCATTCCATATGCTATATTATTTCCTTAAACAAACAATATATATATATATATATATATATATATATATATATGTATATATATATAATATTTTCATCCTTATCAATAACAAAAATGTCTAGATCTTGATGTTTGAAGGGAATTGTTTTAAACTTTCTTTACTGAAGTGTTGTAAAAAGAGACACATCAAAGATTAATATTATGCATATAATAGTATGCAATAAATATTAAGTTGGATTATGTAATTCTTTTGGTTGATGAATTTAAGTACTGTAATTAGAAAAGTCTAAGTTGTTCTTATGGAGAAACTGCTTTAAAGGGCCCCCATTTGCACTAGAGTTATTTAACCTTGCAGTTTCTCGATATAAATGGCAGGGCTAAGTAATTTGAGAAACAAAACGTTTTAAATAACAGATCTGTGTTAGACTGGAGATGTACTTAATACAATTTTCAAGAGATAAAATAACAGAATATAATTTTTTTAGCCCAGTAAACTTATTTGGAGCTCCTGGATTACAGGCAAACTAATTGTACAGTAAGACAAGTAGAGGAAAGATTCAGCTATGCTCCTGTTCCTAGGCTTAGTTCTTTTCATAGATACAGGACTCACACACACAAGCCTGGTGCCATGTTATCTGTCAGCTTGGTTTAAATGAAGCCTTAAATTGAAATTTTAAGTTTTTTTAGTAAAAACTTTCTCTTATTGGTGATACAATCCTTTCATATTCAGTAAGAAATAAACTTCCCAAAATAAAACATATCCATCTGAAAGTCATTTTTTATCTGCTGTCACACATCCACAGTTAATGACTGATTTTCCCAGGGGATTTTAAAATTTTCTATTAATGTGGATGTAGCTTCACCTTTAATTAAACATACTTCTCAGCAGACCCAGACTTCTTGCAAACTTTTTAAAAGTTGAAGTCTCTAAGAACATATTCCAGGACAATGGTTTTCTCTTGCATGCAGGGGAAAGGAAAGGGCTCATAAATATTCTGGATTTCTGCATAATTTGTGATATACTGTGGTTCAGTTTACAGGGGACTGTAATGATAAGAAATTTTCTTAGATCAAGAGAAAATATATTTAATATAAACCCAGAAAACTGATTTCAAAGAAATTTTTGTTCAACTTTAATATACAAATAATTAAATTTATTCCAGTTTTTAAAATGCTGGATGAAGTTCAAACAAGCTGTTTGAGCTTTATAACTCATATATTTTATCTTATGTAAGTGTTCAAGAGATCTAGAAGAAGATTATATGGAACTTAAATCCTCCTTGGTGTTCCTTTTCCTTTGCAGATGATTTATGGAATAGATAATAAGTTTGTAATAATCAATAGCCAAGAAACTCAATATCCAGTCATTTAAAGTGCCCATTTGAGGTTTACTGCTAATCTGATATGGTTTACCATGCAATTGTTAATTTAGGAACTATACTTATTTCTGGGATAGTTTTTCACTGTGTGACTTACTCAGCTTGAGCTGTTCTATATACATGCTGTAGAATGGATGGGTTAAATAACAAGAATATATTTCTGGAATATAAAAGTTCAAATTTAAGGTGTTGCTTGTCAATTTGGTGAGAGTCTTCATTGTGGTTTAAGATACACCCCTCCTTCTTGTATTCCCAAAAAGGAAAAGGAAGGAAGAAAATGGGAGGGAGGGAAGGTGATAAGAGAGGACAAGGAGAGAGAAGAGGAGAGAGAGGAGGAGAGACAGATGTTTCCTCTTACAAGAACACTCGTTTTATGAGGCTTCCATTCTTATGATTTAATAAACTCCTAAAGATTCTTGTAGGAAAGAGCAATCAATATTGTTTCTTCAGCTATCACAAAGTTTACATCTGAAGCCCCTACAACAAAAGACAAATTAAAAGGAGAAAAACATTAAAATTGATCTCTTCTAACTTTTATTTGATCTAGAACCCCTTAGTTAGGAATATAAGCAGGGAATTCTATGTATATTCTGCTTAGATTTGATGAAAGTAGACCTATGTGTAATTGGTCAGGGAGTGAGTGGTCTAGTGGTATCTATTGGGGGGAATTTAGCAAGCCCTGTGGTTCAGATTTTTCCTGGTACCTCTGTCTTTAAAGACAATATGTTTTCTCTCCTCAGGTTTGGGACAGGGGGCCTGGAATGAGGGCTTCATGACTGTGAGTGAAGTTTCAGGGAGGAGTCAATGAGGTTTTCTGGCTTTAGCCAAGAGGTGAATGAAAATTGAGAAGGATCTTCCTGATTCTGCTGCTTTCTCAAATGCTATGACATCATCTTTTGCAGTCATTTGTCCTGAATTCCATCACTCTACCTCCTAACATCATCCCACCATGGGACTTGGGGTTTCAACTTGAGAATTAAGAAGACTTAAATTCAATGCATAATGCCTTTATGAGCAGTGGGCTTTAGCATTTGCTGGTATGATTGGCTTCAGAAACAGTCTTGACACAGAAGCTGTGAGCTGCAATTTGATTTTCTAACTGCATATTCTGTTTGAGTTCAGAATCATATAGTCAAGAAAGTGGACTTATTTTTCCTCTATGAATCTTAGAGCATGCACATAGACAAATACAAACCAGGATGTATATGGTAAGTGACTGAGGAATGGCCAAATATTACACAACAAAATGTTTACAGAAAAAAAAAAATCAAACCATTGTTTATAAAATGAAGTTTTAAAACATGGTTCCTGGCACCAGGAATCTTGACTGATTCCACCTGTTCTATTTGGTGACCCACTAGAGCAAAGCTAATATAGAAACAATCAACATGTACATCGGTTATAAGGCATATTTAGCCGGGCTAGATCACTGACTGTGTCTGGGAATAAGCTAAAATGCAACAAATATAAATTCATTCCAGGTTTCAAAATAATCTTATTTAAGTATCAATGTTCTGACTTCCAGTGGGCAGAGGGAGGGTGACAAAGTGGTTACACTCATTCTCCCCTTGTGGGGGGGGGGACAGACTGATAAAGACTTGTGAATTACAGACACAACGTGATATAAGAAAAAGTGAAATTTGAATCCATCTTCTCTCCATATTCCAAGCCCCAACCTCTTGACATTATATTCTTTTGACTTCTTGGGTCAATCAGAATTGGGAAAATTGTGGGTACTTGCTTGCAATTGTATAAATAAAGGCTAAGATAATATTGTAGATATTTTAAAAGTTTTCACATATTCAGTGCTGGAGTTGGTACTACAGATTAATGCTAGAGCATGGATTTACCATGCAGGAGGCTGTGTGTTCCATCCCTAGTGCCCAGAAATAATGAAATAGGAATCGTAAGGATCAACCTAAATGATTTGTACATTAGGCTTATGTAATGCTTAACTTATTTGTAATTTTAACTCCCAAATATTCTTTCAAACTAATATTTTTGTAGATGCAATCAAGTTGAAATAGAATTTTCTCTTTAAATGGGAACTTTACACAGACATTTACATACTAATTTTAAGCAACTAATTTACTTTTTCCTATTACCTGTTTTGTAGTTTAGTGTTATTCATTTAGAAAAAGATATCTAATTTTACATTGTATCAAATAAAAAAATCAGAAATGAAATTCTAATAATAATCATTGTTGTAATATTTTCCCAGAATTAATAATAGATAACATCCAGAGTTACATAAAATGGTGATCTGAGAGTAACATTTGGAAAAATATTGCAAAGCTGTTCTCTGAGATCTTATTTCCACCTTTAGCATTTGCAAAATCTATATTTCAAATGGATGCCATTGATTTTATTAAAATCTGTGTTGCCTGAATCAGAAGAAATGTTTACTGTTTTTAGTGGATTTTTTTTTTTTTTTTTTTTTTTTGCCTGTTTCTTCTTTTGTGACACCCGCTGGCCATGCCTGGTACTGCAAAGCCTCCTATTTCACGCTCCTCTGCCTTTCTCAACTGCCCAATGCGTTTTTTACATAAAGCTAATTTAAATTAAAGAATCCGTTCAACATCTTTATCTACAGTAGAGATAATAAAATATGAGCCCTAATCATAGAACAAGAAAATTAGTACTGTAGAGACTGAGGAATTACTCAGTTAGCATATTATGTATACTTTTTGTTTCACTGGAACTAAAAGAGATACAATAATTTGCTTTTTCCTAATAATTTTAAGCTCACTTTACTTGAGAGTGTATATATAGGTAATGCTAACTATAGATGATGGCCAACCAATCCCCAGTGACACTATGCTATGCGAGTACGCTTTGCAATTTGGTAAATCTGATTTAAAAAAAAAAAAAAAAAAACAGCTAAGTAAAACTGTACATGGGAAAACCCAGAATTTCCACTAAAAATGAATGAACTCCACCTAGAGCTCTGTGCAAATGGGGTCCCTGACTGTGAACTAGAACTATGAGCAAACTTTTTGTATTAGCAGGAATCCATGTATCCTCAGCCACTCAGTCAAATGCAGATACTTGTTGCCTTCTCTAAGATTTATAGGCTGGAGCTAGCTTTTGAAATTGCTTTGTACTTCCTTTTAACAGCTAGGGCAGCAGCATGCTAAAAATTTCCCTCTGTCTCCTTAGAACCTATTTATATAAAGCTAATTTATCTGCCAGTCTCTCTCTCTCTCTCTCTCTCTCTCTCTCTCTCTCTCTCTCTCTCTCTCTCTCTCTCTGTCTCTCCATTTAGCTTCTAAACCATTACCTACCCGCTTAACCCAAGTAAAATACTGCCACAGATACCGTCCTTAAGGGTTACAGGACGCGATGCGCTCCTCTGAGGCACCATTCACCCCCCCTGACCTTCTTGGATTCGGTGCCCTCCTGCAGACACGCGCAGAGCACCGGGAAGTGCACATTTACTGTACTGCGTGCAGACTGCCGCGAAGAAACTGTAGCTAACCATCTTATTAGTATTCTTGCCTCCGCCGTGTCTCACTAGCAGCATCAGAGGGCTGAGCAAAATGCAGTAGAACAGGGACAGACAGGGTTCTGGCAATCGTCTCAATGCAGGCTGCCGAATGTTGGGGGTGGGGGATGCAGCACATCAAGATTAATAACCTTGCCATAATCCGGGGCATCCCGCAAGCAGACGCCTCTGCCGATTGATCCACTCTTGACTTGATGCTTCTGCCTAGGGGAGAGGGTTCCGGAATCCATCCAGTCCCGGGGGACCCCCTCTTGATTTTGGATGTTCCTTTGATCCTCCACAGACCTGGGAAGGTAACGGAGGCGAGCCTTACCATCTGCAGCACACAGCAGCTCTGGGAGGTTACTACTGACAGTTTTCATTACACCGGCTTGCGTGAGTGCTTGCGTGTGCGTGTGAGCGTGTGTGTGTGAGTGTGTGTATGTGTGTGTGTGTGTGTGTGCGCGCGCGCGCCTGTGTGTGAGTGCAGGTGCCTGCTTTTGCGTGAAAGGGAGCGTGTGAGTGTCCACGGTGTGTATGCGTGTGGGTGAGAGTGTGTGTCTGTGTGACAACCAAGGCACCAAAGCAGGTATATCGTACAGGAAGAGATTTCAGCAGCGTGAAAATAATCTCGGCGCACTTGGGCTCAAGGCTGTGGCCCCCACCTCTCACCACCCCCTCTCTTCTGGCTCTGCCTTTTTCTCCTTTTGCCTTTGATGAGTTTTTGGCTTACTTTTTGACGGAGTCTCTTGGACACGTTTTTTGCTGGTGCAGGAAAATCAGATAAAGGGAACCTTTGAGAACTGATTATTTTTCTCCTCTGTGACTTAAAAAAAAAGAAGAAGAAGAGGAAAAGAAAATAGAATATTGCAACAAAAGCTAGAGGATTTTCAATTTTTCTTGGTGAACTTTGAGGGGACATCAGAAAGGTAAGTCAGGAGAACTTAAGATCTCAGTACTTTATCTATTGTAATGTTTGTGCTTTTCTGTTTGCTTTTAGAAACCCCAACGGAGTTTTTATGCACATTCTAGAGACTGTAATGCTCAGGAGAACTCAGTGTGGGGCATTTTCGGGTTATTCTTATGCCAAGGAGATTATTTCCATTTCCATAGCCATCCTCCCCCATTTCTCTTCCTGTGTTGTACATCCCCTACACATCTGACATTTTCTTAGTAAATTCTGGATGTATGAAATTTGGGTGGCAGGGGAGATTCCAGCATTCCCCTTTCTTGAAATTCTTAAATTTGAGAAAATAACCAATCTGAAGAGCTACTGGCAGTCTCTGAGTTACAGACAAAAGTCAGTCTGCTCAGAGAGGGTGTGGGGGTTGATGTATAATCTGGACTTTTGTGATAACTTAATAGTAGAATCCCCCATCCAGTTCCTTTTTTTTTTTTTTTTTTCCTTCTTCTTTGAGTAGTTATAGCTGCTCTGGAGAGTAGCAAATATGTGGCTTACAGAAAAGCTGCTTCAATAGCTCTTAATTGGAGCAAATTAAAACAAAGTAGAAATTGTTTGGTATTTTGAACCTCACTTTTTTTGCATGGATACTCTTGCAATTGCAACTCATTAACCTTTCTGGATGCAGCGTCCCCTGATTAAACTACCCTCATTTTAGCACCCTCTTACCTGCTGCCATCCCCAGAGAGGGGAGCGCTGTGGCAAATTGCTCTTGACTCTCTCTTCTTGACAGTAAAAGCAAGTGGTATCAGGGATTCAGGTGACTGAGTCGCACATCTTGCCTAATTCAGTCTCTTTAGTGTTTGTTTCTGATTATGTGAGCCCTCATATTTCTCCCCTCTCTTCCTTCAAAGTGAAAGGTAGATGATATCTTACCTGTTCTAATCTGAAGATGCTTTAATTAAATCGAAACACCATCTCATTGTGATTGTGTCTGTGTTTCAGTATGTGTGTTTTCATCTCTGCATTGACATCATTTAGTTTCTCCAAAGAAGTGAGAATAACTTGTATGTAAATTTCTGAAATGCTTCCACTCCAAGAGGAAGTAGCAGGAGATTAGTGTTTATTGGTCACTGCATAGGGATAATTTGTCCTCAAAGGAATGGTGGTATTTAATGGAATGCAAACCATTGTGCTCTGTTATTGTGAACACATTAATGGTAAAGATGACAGGTCTACATACTAAGCAGATGGAGGAAGGCGTGCATAGGCGATTGACTGCAAGTATTGATGTCTATATTTAGAAAGAGAGCAGGCACAAATTGTAACATAGGAAATTTATTAGAGATCATTGACTGGGTCAGAGATCTATCAGCACATGCAACTTGAGAGATGTCAAACATCATACCCAAAATGCTGGTAGTTCTCTTTTTTCCACAAGAGAAATTATCCATAAAATGAAATAATACTCGGATGTGACCATTTATCTAATGATTTTTGGGTAATGGTATGAAAAAGTGGTTAAAAGAGGCACAGAGGGCACTGCTAAAAGGTATTCCCCACCCCCACGCAGTCTTGTGACTGACAGCTCCATACAGTCCTCTTGATAAAAATACTAAGGGAAAACTCTCTCCTAGGTAGAATTTATCAACTATTCTGTGATCAGGATATTTTCATCTGTTACCCACAGATCCCAGTTACAATGTCCACTGCCAAGCAAGAAAGTTTTTTTTTAACAGCTTGAACACTAAACCTCAAATAAAATTTCATTTTGTCTGTGACAAACACATGCTGGTGACCATGAAACTGTCTGAGAATATAGGCAAAGGTGAACATATAAGTAAGAAATACAAAGTTTTCTGTTCGAAGATTAAATAATATTTGGTCTCCTTAAGGAACCTACTGGTTCTGAAGGTCCCCAAATTTAGAAGAGACAATTATCCTTCCTTAAGTTTGTTAGTTATTTATTAACCTGCAGCTTTTGATTACTAGTCCCAGGAAGACAGAACAATATTTTTAGGTCATTTATTTTGTGTTATGACTTCTTTGAATGAAGAGAAACCTTTTGAAATGCTTTTCTTGAAGTTGACAAATTAGTATCTCTTTCCACTGAAGATGTTTAATTTTGATTACTCTCCTCCATTCACATTCTCAACCAGTAAAGTGTACATTTAGACTTGTGGTGTTGGGAAAAAAAATTAATTGCATAATTTTTCTCAATACCATCTTAAGGAAAAAAATGATAGCATCTTGATTTTATGCACTTGAAATTTAATAATTGTAATGAGTGAATCTTCTAGCAATAGCAACACTTTCATTATTACCTATTTTAAGCTAATAGAAGGGGGTTATGTGCCAACTCAGGATTTTCTGTTTCCAGTGCATGCCATGTGGAACGAAACTCTGCTTCTTAAGAGTTCCTGAGTGTTCTTGTGCAACAGTAACTTTACATCTTCCTTTTAAGCTCAGGTCAGAGCCATAGTAAACAGCTTTTGATCATACCTGGCTTCAGATTCATGGCTTACTTTGTCATGTCGTTTTTAAGCTCTGTTTTGTGATAGAAAGTGTTTTTGAGGTTTCACAGGGCTGCTTTTCAGAAAAGGAAATGCAGAAGGGAGGGTAGGAACTTCCATGTTAGTAGGGGTACGATGCCAGTATTGCCAGTGAAGAGGCTGAAGTTACCCAGAGGAAATATATGCATGGTTACGGTGTTAGAAAAACAGGTTGACTGCCTGGAGTTTACTGGGGAGAATAAAGGAAATTGCAGTTTCTTCTCTAGTCACTTCCAGTTCATTGGGAGGCCTTTCTCTGGGGATCTGCTCAAGTAAGCCAACCAGACCCAACATTCTCCAGTTTGCTTCTCTGTTCTTTTAAGACCAGTGCACTTAACACATGAATAGCTCTTTCCCTCTAACACACAGGGCTGACAGCTGGAGAGTGAGCTACTGAGCACGGTTAAAGGAAGCCAGGAAGATCTCTTAGTAAGTTCAAGTGCAGAGAGGGGTCTGGGAGCTGCAGCCCTGGAGGGGTGTGTGTGTGTGTGTGTGTGTGTGTGTGTGTGTGTGTGTGTACCAGGTGGACTGAACTTGAACTTCTGTTTGCTGAGTCATTACAGCAACCTAGACTGGTGAGTTTGCCCTGCAAGGAGTTGAGTGGATAAGGTGACAGACAGGAGCTAGGATGAATAGGCTAAGAGTATCAACATACTGCCAGAAATGCAGACCCTTGGGATGAAGGAGATGCATTCTCTGAGGATGTGTCAATGTTTCATGGAGCTGTGATGCTGTGTTCTACCACTTAAAAATGAATTCTGGTCCCAATAGGTTACCAAAGAAAAGATGATTAATTGATGTGTGAATAGAGTAGAGGCTTTGCAATAAACTAAATCAACTTATTCAATTATCTGCATTGCCATTTGGGATCACTGAGCGGTTACAAGTAAAAGCGCGGGAATGTTGGAGGCTGGGATTCACAATCAGCAAAAGGCAGACTCTGGATTGAACATCAGAAGATGTCCATCAACCATTGATAGTGCGGCATAATGGTTAGCAAGTCACTCAAAGGTTCAAAACACTGAATTCCTCCAGAACAATTTAAAAATATGTGTTCTTAACTTCTAGTGCTATCCTGAGATTTATTATCAAATATTGTGGAATAAATGATTTATAAAGTTAGCATTTCTATAGAAATGTGAGGGGTTGTGCTGATGACTTCCTACAGGATTTAAGGCAATATCATCTGATACCTTTGATAGAATTTCAAATTAAGTGGATTATGCAGAAGTAATTGTTTCTACATCATGGTTGTTCAGTGTTTGTGTTTTTATAGTTTGATTGTTTTTTCCAAATGTGTGAACTACAAATCTTGGTAACTTCGGTGGCACATTCTTAGTTATATGTATGTGTGTGTCTATGTGTGTACATGTGCAGAGGAACTCGTGTACTTGATTAATAAGAGGTACAATATGAAATTTTTGAAAGACAGAAAATGTATAATGGCCCAAGTCCTATATCACTGGATATCCAGAGAGCAAAAAATACCAAAAAAAAAAAAAAAAAAAAAAAAAAAAAAAAAGAAAGAAGCTTGACTCTGGACTTTCTGTGGGATTACAGAGGTATTAATCGAGTTTGTAAACTTCAAAAACTCCAATTCACAATGAAGCTATTAAGTGAGACGCAGAAATTGTGCAAAATGAAGTATTTATAATAATAGCACAGTTCCTAGTGATGCTCACAAAGTTGCTTTTCTGAAGTTGCATTTCGGATTTCGGACCCAGGTCACAATTCAGGAGCCGAGCTTAAAGTTGTGATTGGAGGAGAATATGATGGTGAGAGTTGAACAGATTTGAATCAGGTAACTTTGTAGAGCTTCACTTATCTAATTTTCAGAACAACAAAATCTGCTGTAAGGGCCTATGAAAAATATAAATTAAAGACTTAACGTTAAATACACTTGGTAACTTCCTTGATGTAAAACCGGAATTTTGTAGGTGATTAATATATTCTTTCACCCCTCTTAATTAGGTTTAAGTATTAGAAAAGGGAATATAACTCAGTGTAGTTATGCCCAGTGCAGTCAGACAAAAGCCCCAAAGGTAGTCTTAGCACTAAATGAAACTGGAGAAACCAGTTTCTATAAGTTAATGATTTTATGTACTCTGACTTTCCTAGAGCAGCCTCAGTACCCTTTCCAGATGTCACTGTATTTTATACTCACAACTCTCCAAAAGATACAGCAAATAAGTAATGAGAGTCATATGCACACCTTCATATGTGATTGGGGAAACAAAATTCAAATGTCAGCCAGTGGTGTTAACATGGCTCTTTTCTAACATCTCATTTTTTCCCCAGACAATGAACAGATGTCTATTTATTAAAAACCTACCACATACAGACTTTGTGATCACTGCTGCTGACAATGTAGAATCTGTCTGCTTGTGTCTCTGGACTGCAACTGCTGCATTTGGACAGGGAGTGCTGCAGTCTTCAAGGCTGCCCCTTGGAATTTTGACTGGATAGTTAAGGAGAA